GTCTGTGTGCAGTTTGGACTCTGTCTCTCCTCCCCCTTGTCTTGTGCATGTATGGGCATGTGTGAGATACTTTGTGTGTGAGTGGCGAGAAAATTTCCAGACAACCAAGTTCATAACAGTTGGTATCGGAGCGGAGATTGGATTTGGAGCACTGAGGGTTGAGCGCAACAGAGGCATCCCCTTCGTCTGGCCCTAACTGGCGAGAAGTTCCATGGAGGCTCTTTATCTTCAGTGAAGATCCAGTAGAGAAGAGGACATACAAGTGGTGATTTCAAGTATTCAGTGTGCGATTGATCAGGCACCCTGAGCCTGTCTGACTGCCTGACAGGATTGGGCGAGAACAGGGGTATTTCGCCTTCCACCCTTCTGGGCCCAGTTGATGACTGAGTTCAGGGTGGCAAATTATACCCTAATCCAGTGATAACTGGGTGGCAGCATCAATCCCAGTATAGCGCCGAGGGAGAATTGATCGTAGGATCACTCTCCTGCTGAATTAGCCCTACTCAGGGCTAAATTTAGCACCAACGGCTCCCCTTTGCAGTGGCGAGATACCTTCAGGAGAGTTCTCTATCGCCACTGAGCCAGATTCAGTGAATCTGAGAGTTGGGATTGGATCGCCATAGGCGACTGAGCATGATCAACAAGTTTCATGAGATTCTACGCGTGGAGATCAGTGGAGGAGTCTGCAAGCAAGTGGCGAGATCAGGGTTCTGTCAACCATAACCAAAACTTCATCATCCACTGAGGCAAACACCGCAAGTGAGTGTGTTCCGTGTGAATCCCTGTGTAGCGATTAGTTTAGGACCAGTAGAGTTTGAATTGATGGTCTGTCTGTCAGTAGGGTCTCAACTTTGAAATTGTCAGACTGCAAGAGAGCCATAGCCATCTTCTTCCTCCCTACCCTGACTCATATCTCACCATCTGCTGACTCTTTCTGACTCAAATTTGTTCTGGGACTGTATGACAGTATTGCGCTGCACCCTGTATGATCATTCTGTGACTTCTGTACAGAAAAAGTAGTGATACTGTGAATTTTAGTTTTGCGCTGAGTCTATTTTTAGTCCAGGCTAACTAAGGTCAGTCAAAACTCAAATTCTGTCCGTTAGAACTCCGTTCTGTCAGTCTGGGGTGAATCGCAATTCAGTATCTGTCATCTGTGCTGAAGCGCTAAACCAGAATCAGTGTATTTGAGTAATTACAGTGAAATACTGAAAATTGCTGTGTCAATGGGTATTTCTGTTGATGTCAACAGTGGCGAAAATTGAGTTCAGGGCTGTCAGGGTCTAGTCTACTGCATCGCTACTACTTGTTGCCCTGTTTCAGTCAGTTCTTGTCTGTATCTATCTATCCCACTGATTATCCTTGTTTTCTGATGGGCTTTGGAACGTTAGAGGTCACTGGAATGCACTGAAATTGTATATTGCAACTTCAGTGATGGTTCAGTGTCAGGTATAGGAAATCGTTAGTGAATGGTTTTACTGGACTTTCAGTCTATCTGATTACTGACCCTAGTGATTGTATTCCAACCCTAACCGCTTGTGCCTACTAACCCACCTTACTCTCTGAATTGACAGTGCAACGATTTCTGAGTGTCTGAGGGGATTGAATATCGCTGCACCTCTTGCTGTCTAACTTTGTTGTTTATTGGTTCTGAAAGGGAAGATGTCTAATGCGGTTGACTCAGGTGAGGGAAAGGTAGAGGTAGTAGTCAAGGAGGAAGAGAAACCTTCCCCCTCTACTCCTACCCCTCCTCCTCTCACCCCGGCTCAGCGGCGCAAGAGGGAAATTGAGGCCAAGCTGCGAGAGCAACAGGCGCTACTAGCAGAAGCTGAGAGACAGGAGTTGGAGGCTGCAACAGATGCCTCCCGCAAGGAGTTTCTGCTGCAGCAAGAAGACTGCTGCAGATGAGAGGGTGTCCCAGTGCACCAGGTACCTGGCTGAGCTGGTGATCTTGCAGAACAAAATCACAGCCAGCCACTTTACTAACTGTGATGACCGGATTCAGCGTCTGGAGACCAGGGTAGGCGACCTGGCGACTCAGCAGTCTAAGATCCTGGATGCTATCCAGAATCTGACTGCTCAGTTGACAGCAGCCCGCCTGATTGCACCTGTGGTACCACCCCCTGCCTCTGTCAAACCTAAACAATCTTCACCTCACTCTTCACCCCCTTCCTCTCCTCCTAGTTCCCACAAGTCATCTCCCTCTACCTCCTCCCAAGCTAAAGTCAAGCCTCCTCCCACCTTGGCCGCTGTTGTTGTTGGGGATCAGCGAGGACCCAAGATCCCTGCACCCAGCAAGTTTAGGGGCGATGACCCCAAAACTGATATTGGGGACTAGGCAGCAGGAACCCGGGCCAACCTGAAGGGTTTCGTGTGCCCAGAACAGCAGAAGGTGGCTACCGTTGTGGGGCTGCTGGAGGGCCCAGCCCAGAAATGGGCCACATCTACAGCTAGCTCCCAGCAGCAGACTTTGGAGGACTGGGTTCTAGCCCTGGGAGTGGACGAACTTTTGCAAGCCCTGGAGGACAGGTTTGCAGACAAGGAGCGTGCACGTAAGGCTGCTGACAAGATCGTACGCCTTGGACAGCAGCGCTACAGTGGCAGTCTGCAGGCCCTTTTTGCTGAATTTGAACAGCTAACCTCCACCCCTGGTTTGGTTATGTCTGCTGATGATTTGCCGACTAACTTTTGCAGGGCTGCGCCTGAGAAGTTTTGTGTTGCTCTTTATAGCGCAGGGCATAAGGACTGGAGGTCCTTTGGACGTGCAACACTAGACATGGACGCTAAGCTCCATGTTCAGGCCCCCTCCAATGATAGGAGAAAAGGCGCCTTCCCTCGCGGTGGTAGAAAGGGAAAGGCGGCCTTTGCCTATGCGGGCTCTGGGTCAGCCTCTGACACCGGATCCCAGCCTGGTACACCGCCAGATGGGACTGGTTCAGCTACTGTCCCAGATGTTGCAGCAGTCATTCAGCAGCTGCAGGCTGCGCTGGGGGCCTTCCAAAAGGTCGGGTCTCCCTCCAGCACAACCTCCAGCAGCAAGGGGAAGAGCCAGGGACGTCGCTCTTCTACCCCTGCCCGGCGCCCAAACCTGCCGCGTGACGCCAGATTCCCAACAGACCCTCTGAACCCCAACACTCTCCCATGGCATGACCTGAAGATTCAGGAGGGAGTGTGGAGGAAGAGGAAAGAGAGACGGGTCTGTTTGAGGTGTGAGGGACAGCACTTCCTGAAGGACTGTCCCTACATGCCCAGTCCAGCTCAGTCAAAAAACTGAAGCTGACCCTGGAGACTGCAGTTCCCTCCAGTGCTGCACCTGCATCTGCATCTGCAACAGCTTCAGTTGAGACGAGTTCTGTTCATCCCAGTTTGGGGACTGCGCGGGCAACATCCTTCTGCTACGAGGATCCTGACCCGGATCAGGAACCGGAGCAGTCTGAGCTTCAGGCTATTGCTGTTTTTTTCTTTCACCTGAAAGAACAAAAGCGCAGCAAATCCGAACTTCGGCCCCTGATCAACAATATCAGACTCAAGGGGTTATTAGACTGTGGAGCCACCAGAAACTTCATGTCTCCCAGTGCAGTCAAGAAACTGCATCTGGGCATGAGAGTGGTGCAGCTGCAGCAACTGCTGCAGGTCAGGATAGGTGACTCCACTGTTCTGACCATCAGGGAGAAGGTCAGGGGTATCCCTGTTACCTTCGGCAATGCTGGAGAAGTCAGACATAGTCTGAACTTCTACATATTCATTGATCTACCCTTTGACCTGGTTTTCTCTATGTAGTGGCTGAAAGCAGTCAACCCAAGGATCGACTGGCAGATCCCCAAGGTTGAGCTGCCTGACAGCAAGGGGTGTATCAGCCATGCCTGATTGCAACTGAACACCACCCTAAGACTTCTTGCTTCTGCTTGAGAGCGAGGGAGTTTTACGCTCTCTCACGCCAGTACGATCATGAGCGTCTGTTCATAGCCCTGGTCAAGCAAACAGGCGCCCCAACCGTTTCCTGTCCTCCTGAGGTACAGCAAGTGGTTGACCATTATGCTGATTTGATGCAGGAGCCCGTTGGATTACCCAACCGGCCAACCAAGCATCTCATTTGAGCTGTTGCTTGGAGCGGTCCCTCCCAAGGGCCGCATCTACAGGATGTCCCCTGCTGAGCTGGAGGAGCTCAGACGACAGCTTGAGACCCTGACCAGCAAAGGCTGGATCAGGCCCAGCACTTCTGAATTCGGCGCCCCAGTCCTCTTTGTTCCCAAAGGGAGTGGCGAGTTCAGAATGTGCATCGACTACAAGGGTCTCAACAAGATCACTAGGAAGAGTACAGAGCCCCTGCCTAGGATCGATGACCTTCTAGATATGGTCCAGGGATGCACCATCTTCAGCAAAGTCGACCTCAAGTCTGGTTATCACCAGATTGAGATGGCAGAGGAGGATGTCCACAAGACAGCCTTCAAAACCAAATATGGTACATATGAGTATCTGGTTATGCCATTTGGGCTTTGCAATGCACCTGGCACATTCCAAACAGAGATGCACCGCAACTTCAGGCCTTACCTGGACAAGTTCATGGTCGTCTACCTTGATGATATCGTGGTATTCAACCGGACTGCCAGGGAGCATGCGGAGCATTTGGCTCTTGTCCTTCAGTCCTTACGTGACAGCCAGTACAAGATTAACAGAGAGAAGTCCTCCTTTGGACTTCCCTCTGTCATCTACCTGGGCCACGTAATCTCTGGAGATGGTCTAGCCCCTGAAGCAGCTAAGATTGCTGCTATTCAGGAGTGGCCACAATCCCAGACAGCGAGAGATGTTCGGTCTTTCTTGGGTCTGGCCTCCTACTACAGAAAGTTCGTCAGGAACTTTTTTGCAGTGGCGGCGCCCCTGACTAACCTCACAAAGAAAGACACTCCCTTTCTTTGGTCCCTTCACTGTCAGATGGCCTTTGCACGACTCAAACAGGCCGTGACTCGTGGCCCTGTTCTGAAGTTACCTGACCCCACCTTGCCATTTGTCCTGATCACTGACGCCAGTCAGTATGGCATTGGGGCAGTACTTCAGCATGATGATGGGAATGGTCTAATACCTGTCGAGTTTATGAGCAAGAAGATCAAGACTCAGAAGCTTCAGGACTCTACCTACGAGAAAGAGCTATATGCTCTTGTCAGTGCCTTGAAACATTGGAAGCACTTTCTCCTCGGAAGGCACTTTAAGATCTTCTCTGATCATTTCACTCTTCAGTGGTTGAAGTCCCAGGGAGAGTTAAATGATAAGTTGGCATGCTACATTCAGTTCATCGACATGTTTGACTTTGAACTGAAACACAAGAAGGGCTGCTACAATAAAGTAGTTGACGCCCTCTCTCATAGGCCTGATTCTTTTGCGCTGATCTCCTCGACTCATTCCTTTGGAGAGGAGGTCCGTCAGACCATTGCTCGCTTACTGCCTCAGGACCCGACTTATGGACCCATTGTCAGGAATCTGCTAGCAGATCCCAATGCTGAACCTGGCTATGCCATGAGTTCAGATCTGCTGTACACTTACAGCAGAGGAGAGGAGTGCTTATGCATTCCCGAGGATCAGCAGCTTAGGACACTGTTGATGTCAGAGTGCCACGATGCGCGTGGACACTTTGGGTTCTTGAAGTCGTATGCAGCCCTGTCACAGCGCTTCTTCTGGAAGGAGATGCGGAGTGAGATGCTGCGTTATGTGGAAACCTGTGAGCTATGTCAGAGGAACAAGGTTCAGCATAAGCCTCCTCCGGGATTGCTCAAGCCCTTACCCATACCTGATGGTCCTGCTCAGTCTGTGTCCATTGACTTTACAGACTTAGGCAAGACCACCCCTCGTGGCATGCGTCAGGTTATGGTCTGCGTGGACAGGTTCTCCAAATACGCAGAGTTCATCCCCTTGCCAGAGGTAGCGAGTGTCCCAGCTGTGAGAGCAGCCTTTTCTGAGAGGTGGGTAACTCACCATGGGCCGCCCACTTCCATAGTCAGTGACCGAGATCCACGTTTTTGCAGCGATGAGTGGCAGTCCTATTGTAAGGACTACTTGCACTCTCGTCTGGACATGACGTCTGGTCGTCATCCTGAAGCCAATGGTCAGGCTGAAGTGATGAACCAGGTCCTGTTCCAGCTGCTACGTCCTGTTATCTCCCCAGATCAACAGGACTGGGATCTCCACCTTGCGAGGGCACAACTCATGTATAACATGTCTGTCCACTCATCGACTGGGTTCAGTCCTTATCGATTACATTGGGGACAGGAGTCACGTCAGCCTCTCGATGATATCATCGACAAGGCTAAGACAGATCTGACACCAGGCACAGCGGAGTTCACCAGACGCTATCGTCTTGATGTGGAAAGAGCGCGAGCAAACTTGTTCAAAGCCCAAAAGGCAATGATCGAACAAGCTAATCGCCATCGCAGGCCTTCCCCCATTCGTACTGGTGACTATGTCTGGGTAGCCAGTTTAGAGTTGTCGAGGGAGGAGGATATCTCTCCCAAGCTGCTGCCCAAGTATCTGGGTCCATGGCATGTGTTAGATACAGTAGGGGCTGATCCTTTTGGTCCGTCGTACACCATTGATGTCCCTCTGCATCTACGTACCTATCCGGTCTTCCATGCATCTAAGCTGCTTCCCTTCACTCCGGCTGATGCATTCCCTGACCAGCCCCCTCAGTGGGGTCCACCAATCCTTGGTAAGGGATACGACGTGGTATCCATTGAGGATGAGTGGGGCACTGGCCCCGACCGGCAGTATCTTGTGAAGTTTGCCTTCCAACCTCCGACTGAGAATCGGTGGTACTACAGGAAGGACCTTCTCAAGACAACAAAGTCTGTTGTGTTGCGATATGAAGCGGCTCAGAAGGGTAACCTTCGCCGCTCACCTCGCCTGCACCCCTAGCTCGGAGGTCCTCGCTCCCGGGGAGGGTAAGCCTGCAATGACTTGCTGATTTCTGCTGCCGAGACTAACTGCGAGGCTGTACAATAACCGGTAGGTTAGTTTTGTAATTTTATTTGGCTGAGGGCTAACCGAGAGACCAGCCTGTGAGGAAATTTGTGAGGGATAGATCTGTAAATCCGGGGAAAATATAGGCCAGGTACTAACCCGAATTCCTACAGCTACCCTAACTGCCTAGTGCAGGCCCGGGCTACCCCTAGGACAGACAGGCCCTAAGTGGCCTATTCTGCTAGACGGTTCT